CTCTTTCTTAGATGCCATTTATTTTTCTTTCTTGGTTTACTTCCTTTAATGTGCCCCTAGTTATTCCCCAAAATATGCACATAATGTAGATTCTTTGAGAATTTGCATAGCTGACAATCTCTGCTTTTTTTTAATATCAAAATGGTTTTATTCTATTCATATTTAATGTAGTTATTGATGTAGCTACATTTACATCTGTCATTCTGCTATTTTTCTATGTCTCGTGGTTTTTTTTTGAAGAATTTATTGAGAGCAGTTTTAGGTTTACAAGAAAATTGAGAGGAAGGTAAAGATTTTTTCACATATGCCCTGTCCCCACACAGGCATAGTCTCCTCCATTATTGACATCACTCATCAGATAGTGCGTGCGCGCGCACGCCCACACACGCTTGCCCACGCACGCTCTCTCTTGTGACTGAGCCTTTGCAGATTGTCTGCTCTCACTTAGCAATATCCATTTAAAGTTCCTCCACGTCTTTTTATGACTTCATAGCTCATTTATTTTTAGCACTGAATTACATTCTATTGTCTGGATGTACCACAGTTTATCCATTCACCTACTGAGGGACATTTTGGTTGCTTCCAAGATTCGGCAAGTATGAATAAAGCAGCTATAAACATCCGTGTGCAGGTTTTTGTGTGGACATAAGTTTTTATCTCCTTTGGGTAAATACCAAGGAGTGAGATTGCTGAATTGTATGGTAAAAGTATGTTTTATAGAAACTGCCAAACTATCTTCCAAAGTAGCTGTACCAGTTTGCATTTCCACTAGCAATGTATGAGAGTTCCTGTTTCTCCTCATCCTCCTCAGCATTCGGTATTGTCAGTGTTCTGGATTTTGGCCATTCTCATAGATGTATAGTTGTACCTCATTTTAATTTGCATTTCCCTAATGACATATGATATGGAGCATCTTTCCATATGCTTATTTATATATCTTCATTGGTAAAGTGTCTGTTAAGGTCTTTGGCCCATTTTAAAATCAGGTAGTTTGTTTTTAAGTTTTAAGAGTTCTTTATTCATTTTGGATAACAATCCTTTATCAGATGTGTCTTTTGTAAATATTTTCTGTCAGTCTGGCTTGTCTTCTAATTTTCTTGATTGTTGTCTTTTGCAGAGCAGAAGTTTTTAATTTTATTAAGTCGAATTTATCAATTATTTTTTTTCATGGATTGTGTCTTTGGTATTGTACTTAAAAAGGCATCACCATACCCAAGTTCATCTAGGTTTTCTCCTGTGTTATCTTCTAGAAGTTTACAGTTTCGCATTTTACATTTAGGTCTGCGGTCCATTTTGAGTTAATTTTTGTGATCAACATAAAAACATTCCCCATTTTCATTTAATATTTAATGCAGGTCCCTTTCCAGGTAAGGCCTGTTTTATATACTCCTTTGTTTTTCTAGACAGACCAGAAAAACAGTGCAAAAAAACCAGCTTTGCAAATCCTCCCTGCCCATCCCCATTTTTCTGAGAAGCAGTACTGTAAACAGAAGCAGAGTCTTTGTCTGCCTCCATGTAGTCCAAACCAACTTGTTGGGCTCCACCCTTTCCTTTTACCTGATTTAAAAATCACATCAGTGTATAGCAGGGTCTGCAGCATGTCTGTAGAAACTACTTTTAAACTATGCTACTTGGAAGGCCGAATACCTTGATTTGATAGGGGAGGTGCAGCCCTTTCATTAACAAATTATTAGATTACTTTATTAGATTAGCTACATCGAACATGTGGTAGAAATATAGAATGAGTCAGTTTGAATAAAGTGGAACAAGGTATAACTAACTTCAAATAAAAAAATATTAGACTTCTAATAATTCGGATAACAACATTCAAATAGGCTAAATCCCTGAGAAATCTAGCTTTAAAAAATAATGTAAAAATAAATATTAAGTAAAAAAATCAACCACTGAAGGAATGAGCTCCATAGTATACACAGAATAGTGTGGCCATTACACTATACAATATGTTAATCTGAGGAAAACCCACAGGTAGGAAAACACCAGAAAGTGCTCCTGTAAAGACAACTCTCCTAAATTTCTTATTTTAGTATATTTACTCTTTTATTTTTTTTTTATCATCACATGAGATAGAATGGGAGTGTGAAGGGAGAATTAAAATTTTGAAGAGGTAGTA